GCTGTATGTTGAATGGGTTTTGCTTAACTCTCTTACTTAATTTATCCCGATTGCGGATAGAAGTAAGAAGACCATTTGTAATCCATGGTTTTAATTTAGCAGTTTTAGCTCTCAATATGTGTTGGGACGTGTTCTGTTCTATGATATTTTGCAAAATCAAATTAAAATTTATAGTTGCTGCATCTAAGTCATTTGAATTTAAAACTTGTTGCCAATTTTGAGATTTCAATACTTCTGTTATATTTTTCCAATTAGTATTCTTGTAAATAAACTCGTTGCCCTTACTAATACCTGTATTACTTTTCAGTTCAAGAGCAACAATAAAATGATCTGTAATGTAAGTTTGTAAAACTGAAGTGTTGACACTCAGCCTGTTTGGCAGTTTTATAAAGTAATGGTCGATACATGTATCACTAACTGGCCGCGTAATTTTATCTATACAAGGAATAAATCCGAACTCATAAAGCAAGTCAAGATATCGTTCCTCTTGTGAATTTAAACATGGATTACGAATGTCACAGTTAATATCACCGGCGATAATTTTAAGTGACTTTTTGTTTGTCATACTAAGAAATGTTTGAAGACCGTCGTTAAATGTAACTAGTGACGAGGAGGGACTTCTGTAGATGCAGATTAATTCACAATCAATATTGACTCGGTAAAATTTAATAACACTAACAGTTAACAGTAAGGATTTCTTTGTTTCTTTAATCAAAACTGTAGAGTCAATTGTGAAGTTTGGTGGTAAAATAAAAACATCAGGAAAACGGCATGATCTAGGATGGCCCCACAATTGTTGTTCACTCGCGGTTGGACGGCCCCCAAGTGTAACCTACCACACTGCTACTACAACGCTGGGCTAATTGTTACATTGTTGGCGGCTAAATGTGGATTATTTTAAACATTCGTAGTAGCCCAAGCTGATGACATTCAGAAAACATTCCTAAAGGAATATAAACATGTCCCAAGAATTTAGCTTTTGATTTTGAGACAACAACACATTTAACAGTTCCAATACGTAAAACAATTCAATATAACAGCGACGCTTTTACGAACGGAGTAAGATGATCCATGTAGAATTTTACTGATTAATATCAGTAGAATCCATTGCCAGAACCAGTCTAATGACGAATAACAGATAGGTCCAGTTTCAAATCATCAGAAAATTAATGATTTGTCTCAGGATCAAATTGACATCCTTCTGATTATTATGTGAGCTTTTGAACGACCCATCTACATCTAAATATTTTAATATCATATTATTCATACTTTTTTCTCTTATCAGGCTACTTATGATCGTATTAATGAACTCAATAACATATTTTGATATAGATTTTTATTTAGACCTCTTAAATTTAGCTGAATACATTTTTCCCATTATTCACTGCAATTTCTTTTACTTTATTATCCATGTAAACAGCTGTAATGGTATGCGAAAAATACATTAATAATTTTAGTTAGTTGCTTATGCTTTCTTCATTTTACTTCTTACGTCTATATGGTTTGGAAAACATTCTTTAATTTGTAAAAATTCATTTTAGAAGAACATTTCGCCTTACGAAATTTATTATTTTACAATTAGTTTGCGAAATAAACCTGTAAAACTTTCTTTGGTCTGTGAAAAAAAAAAACTCATCATACAAGAACTAATAATAATACACTAAAAGTAGTAGTTTTAAAACTCGTGGAAAATTCATAAATTGCACTCACACACTCAGTCAATCAAATATATTAATCTATAAGAGAAATGGTTTTGAATGTATTTGTACCAATACAAATCGGAGTCCTAAGTCGATTCTTGGGTTGGCTCTTAGTCCATGTAATTTATATTACACTATAGGCCAATAATGTTACACTGCAATTTTTCTGACGCTGCAGGGTTCGAGGAAATCCCGTAATACGAATTGTATAAATCTTGATTACTTTTCCATGTCTGGCAGCAGGCTAGTTAGATAACCACTGTCACTTGATGATAATATTAATACAATTGATAGCAGCAACAGTCAGTGATAGGCGATCCACCCACCCTCCACTCTTGTCGGCATTGGCAGTTTGCTCTTTAATGTTAATTGATCATGCGATGGTTTCATATAATGGCAAACTCCTAAAAAATAATTGTATTTGCATAGACCGATCACGTTTTATAGGTTGTAAATCACGAACGGCTGGCTATAGTAGATCTATATAGCTGCATAATTATAGTTATAATTAGTTTTCGTTAGTGGACATGACATTTATTCCAGTATTCTTTGCTCATTGGTGGATGGCTGAAAAAAATCAGAGTATTTTGCCGTGGATGCTTTACCGATACATTTTTCAAGTAAATAAAATAGTTTTTCTATTATGGCATGACTTTTTCTCCCCCCCCCTAAACATAGTACCCTATATGGAGAAAGTATTGTGTTTGTCAAAATGAGTTTAAGTTTTGGGTGGATACATCTATTTCAGGTCCCCATTAACCTAAAAAGGTCATTTTCGAAATTACATGCGTTTTGATTTGATTTTGGTGAAATTTGGTATATGGGTACTAATTATTAATAGTATCTCTAGGTGTTTTGTTTAGTTTTTTTTTACATTTGATTATTAATGGTGGTTTTAAAAACGGCCTAAACGACTTTGATACAAATTTGTATGTTATAGTACTTTCTCAAAATAAAATTGTGTAACTCCAACTGCTGTATAAGCTACGGTTTAAAAGCTCTCCTGCTACTTTTGTGTGTCACCCCCATATTCGAGTTACTCCCGCCGATTACCCATGATAAGGGTTGTTGACAAGCTAATGGGAGAACGTATGGTTTTGGTTGGGAATGGTTCTATTTCTTACAATAAAAGTCACTAAAAGACAGTTAAACGTGAAATGAATACATTTAGGCTCTCTATAATTATTCAACTGTCGTTTTACACAAGGTTTATCACATGAATTTGGAAACATCCTTCGAGATATCAACGTAGGCTTTAAAATCTTGGGAGATGAAACCTTATACATTAGTTTTAGCTTTGCAACCTACCCACTTTAGCTACAGAGGTGGGTGACAATTGGTTTTACGACTTAAGGATTTTAATTAAGTACTCATCAGTTTTCCTAATTTTTAATGTAAATTATCCGGAAGTATACTTTATGGTGGGGAGAACATATTTTATTCAGGGATGTTGTCTGAAACCATCAACATCCTTATAAAACATTACAAATAAGTAAATATAATTCGAGTAGAGCTAGGATATTCAAATGTTTGTATCACATATTAGAAATAGTTAGGTAAGGATCTCAAGTAATGTTTCATTTTAAGCATTATGTACTAAATATTAAAAGTAAGATTTTATCAAGAAAATAATCTTTTAGTATCCAAATTTATTATAGTATTGAAATTTCACTATTAAGTCGAGTTCGATGGAATGGTTCACCGAAATAGGTGAATTTTGAGACTAAAAAACAGCAATTTTTGTTGATTTTAAACTTGAAACTTGTACCGTACGTGAATTGCGCATAATCTTTCGTCTACAGTCGATTAATGGTGTGACAAGTGCAAAATCTCTACACCAAACGATTCTTACCTGTATTTTTCATGATCGACCTGCATTTTGAGACGGCGGCACGGGTTACGCCATTGCGAAGATCGAAATTTGGCAAACGAAAAATACCCTCCGTTTACGTACTGTTAGTCATGTTCATAAATAACTACTCTCGCAGCCCCTGCATGGTACCATCTCACCTGCAGAACAGCTAGACGGAGGCTGCTCGTCGTCCAGAGCAAGGCTCTAAGGCGGGTGACAGATTCACTCTGGTACTCACTGGTGGCTCACTCCGTCATCAGGGACTAGCCATCTCCACTCTCCGAGACTTCATCGACGGCCTTCGAGCGAGACTCCGTGGGAGCACATCAGGGACCTGGTTTTTTAAGACGTCCCCCAGCTTCGCCAGATATACGAGTAAATAACGAAACGACGTTGACGTCTACAGTTGAGCTACCAGGGCTTAGACCCGAAGCTGACAAGAAATATGCTCCCAGCGATCAGGAACTTCAAGAGAAGTGGCGCAATTCGCCACAGGCAACAGGATAACCAATTGAATATGGACAATTTCTTGAGGATTGTATAATTCATCTAAAATTATATCTCAAGAAAGGGAAATTACATCAATCAATTATACCTCGAAGGGACCCCCTAGATGGGGGGAACCCTATGTGAGTTACCTCGTTTGACACCTAGAAGCATCGGTCCAGCTCGGTCAAAATCAATTTAGATTACATTTTTGTGTATGGTGTTCGGAAAATATCGAAAGATTATTAGGCAAATTAAACAGTTGAAAAATCGGCTGTTAGAAACTAACTCAAGTAAACACAATTAAACTGTGACAACTGTAGACACAAATGACTGTTCCTAGTTTTATAGTAGGCCCATCATCACGTTCAGAATCACGTATATTATTTGTAATAGGTTTCATTCAATACTACCTTTACAAGTGTAAGAAACTTTGACCAGCAACAGGTAGGCGTACAGCGTGTAACACAGTGAGTAGGCGAGATAATGACGCAACTGTTCCTGTTATAGGGGCTGATAGTTGATAATCCCCCAGCGTCCATTGTGGAGTAAACAGCGTCGAGCACGAACCCGGACAATTTACACAACAATTCACGTGTATAAAACTCAGAGTAAACCTGGACGCAACGATTACGTGCATGTGTGATTGTATAAGTTTATATGCATGTATTATTTACAATTATAATAGAATGGAATTTGCATTATATTTGTGTGCACTTAATTTATAAACATGTTTCATTCTATTTGTTGTATTAAGTATGTTCTTTTAGTCATATGATTTATTTGTGTTTAAATATCTTTTGTTGACAGATGTTTTTTGAAAACATGTTTTGGTAAACATTGGTTTAGTTGGAAATAGAGTTTGTTGAAACAAGATGTGTGTTTAATATTCTTGTATTAGAAATAGAACATGGTGGCAGCGGTGGGATTTTTATCGAACTGAAAGTCTAAAACCACGCATAATGTCAAGTAAGGGCAGAAAAAAACAAAATACTCGGAGGCACAGGTATGAGGATAACGGTGAGGACGACGCCCAAAGTGAACTCAACTACGTTTCAGAAAGGGACTCTAGAAAGACTAAAGATGAGTCACGAGGTTTTGCATTGGGACATACGAACCGAGAAAATGATGCAGCTATGTATACTCCTACTCCAATGGTCAATATCACGTTACCAACTCCAGAAACGTTCTCTTTTACTCCGAATGAGTGGCATTCCTGGAGGAATCGCTTTCAAAGGTACAGACGGGGTTGCGGTCTGGATAGCACTTCCGACACTCGGCAAATCGATGTACTTTTGTTTGTAATGGGTAGTAGAAGTGAAGATATTTTCGATTCGTTTTCACCAAAACCTAATACTTATGACGAGGCTCTTAGGGCCTTTGATGAATACTTTGTGCCAAGACGGAATATAATTTATGAAAGATCAAAATTTTTGAGACACAAGCAAGGGAGTGATCCATCTGAAAAATTTATAACAGATTTGCATGGCCTTGCGAAAACGTGTGCATGGGGTGAACTAAATGATGAGATGATGCTTCTCGTCCTCATTATTGGTATGCAAGATGAGGGTCTGAGTGATAGATTCCAGCTGGAATCTCAATTGACTCTGGAGAAAGCAATTAATACCTTGCGCCAACATGAGGAGCTAGAACGCCAAAAACGTGAACTTGCCAATACTAATGTTTTTTTGGTAAATAAAACGTCAGTTCAAAACGGTAGACCGAATCGGACAGAAGGAGTTTGTGACCAGAAATACATCGAGGATGCAGAAAATACAAAGAAGTGCAGGAAATGTGGTTATGATTGGCACGGATCACTGGCCGAATGTCCTGCTAGGAAAGCCAAATGTGACAAATGTTCCGAGATTGGACATTTTTTTCGATGCTGTCCCTACCGCGAAAAGTGGATGAGAAAAAACAAAAACGTTGTTAAAGAAATCGAACAGCAAGTTTCAGACTGTGGAGATCTACAGGTTCCTGAGATTTTCATCGGGAATATAGAAAACAATGACAGAGCCTGGGCCCAGGAGGTAAAAGCAAGCTGTGGAAACCAAGTGTTAGGGCTTATAAAATTTAAACTTGACACAGCCGCTGATGTAACCATGATTCCAGTAGGAGTTCTTGGCGATTTTATTAAGACTCTGCCTCTAGGAAAGTGCAAATCCCCTGTGTACAGTGCAAAGAAGAAAGAACGAATCAATATTTTGGGAACTTTAAGGCTGAAGCTTGAACATAAGGGTGTATCAATTTATGATCATGCTTATATTTCTGAGGAGATCACTGTTCCACTTCTTAGCAGACGTTCCTGTGAAGAGCTGAACCTGGTGAAGAGGATCTTTTCTGTAGATTCATCAGATATTGACTGGGTTACTAAGTACCCTAATTTATTTCAAGGATTGGGAAATATGAAAGGAGAGTACAAGATAGAAATGAAGGAGAATGCAGTTCCTTATGCTATATCTACCCCCAGGGTTGTACCAATACCTTTAAAAAGCAAGGTGAAAGAGCAGTTAGAGAATATGCTTGAAAAAGGAGTGATTGTCCCAGTTGAACACGCGACTGATTGGTGCGCACCAATGGTAGTTTGCGCAAAAAAGAGAGGTGGGGTTACGATCTGCGTGGACCTATCCAAACTCAACAACAGTGTGAAACGTCGGTTTTATCCCATTCCAAAGATGGAACTTTCATTGTCCCAGATCGCGGGAGCCAAGTACTTCAGCAAGATCGATGCGGATTCCGGGTTCTGGCAACTGAACCTTGCAGAGGAGTCTCAAGATTACACAACATTTATCACCCCTTTCGGGAGGTATAAATTCTGTAAGGTACCTTTTGGAATTACATCTGCTCATGAAGAGTTTCAGCGCCGTATGTCAAAAGCTTTAGAAGGGGCAAAGAACTGTTTAGTGCACATTGATGACTGTTTGATATGGGGAAGAACGAAAGAGGAACACGACGAGTGTCTTAGAGCCGTTCTAGAGAGAGTGCAAGCTAATGGAATCGCTTTGAATAAGTAGAAGTCTGAGTTCTGCAAGAAGACTGTGACATTTTTGGGGTTTGTGCTGTCTAAGGAAGGAATCAAGCCTGATCCAAGCAAGGTACAAGCAGTTGTGGACTTACCAGCCCCAAGTAATGCTAATGAAGTCCAGAGATTCATGGGCATGATCACTTTTCTGGCTAAATTTATTCCGAACTGCAGTGAGGTTATAGAGCCAATTACGAGCTTGTTAAAGACTAAAAAAGATTTCTTTTGGGGACCAACTCAGGAAAAAGCTTTTGTCACAGTGAAACAGATTTTATCATCAGAGCCATGTTTAACTGTTTACGATCCGGAAAAGCCCTCGATTCTTTCTTGTGATGCTTCAAAAAAAGGTCTTGGAGCGGTTTTACTACAAGTTGAAGGAGAAAACAAGAAACCTGTGGCATATATATCTCGGACTCTAATGCCTGTTGAAGAAAACTACAGTAACATTGAGAGAGAAGCGCTTGCGTGCACTTGGGCAAGTGACCGTTTAAAATGTTTCCTGATGGGTAAAATGTACACAATTGAGAGCGACCACAAACCGCTTGTCTCAATTTTCAAAAGACAAAATTTGGAAGAGCTCTCACCGAGGCTACAGCGATTCCGAATGCGTATGATGAGATACGATTATCGCATGACCTGGACCCCAAGAAAAGACCTTGCCATAGCAGATCTGCTATCGAGATGTCCTATTCCGGCTAATGAAGATGGCGAATTGACAGAAGAAGTGGAAGCCTTCGTCCATGAAATCAGTATGATTAGAATAAACACTACAGACGAAAATGTGACAAAAGTACTTCACTCACAAATGAGGGATCCAATATGTGCACAACTCAAGCTAAACATTTTAGACGAATGGCCTGGAAAATCAAGTTTACCTAATGAGATTCAAGAATACTTTAACGTGAAAGACGAGTTAAGTTGTATTGATGGGTTATTGCTTCGAGGAACTCGGATGATAATACCTCATGAACTACGAGCGGAAATGCTTGAGAGGCTTCACAGTGGGCACTTGGGAATCACAAAAACAAGGAAACGTGCTTTGGAAACCATGTGGTGGCCTGGAATTTCTCAAGAAATAGAAAGAAAAATAAGAGACAATCTTCCATATACTTTGGTTGGAAATCCTGTTGAAAATAAAGACTTTTTTGAGAGGGAGAATAAGTACCAGTCGAAGTATAAGATGCAATTTGATAAACGACATGGAACGAGGGGTTTAAGTGAATTAGAAGAGGGAAGCATGGTATGGATCACAGATCTACGTAGACATGGTAAAGTAGTCAGGAAATTAAACGAACCACGTTCCTACCTTGTGGACATTGACAAGAAAACCATTCGACGAAACCAGAAGTTCTTAGTTCCTGCGCCATACTACGGAGAAGATTGCATTCTTTCAAACTGTTCATCTACGGCCTTTAATTGTCCATCTAACTCACGTGATCGTCCAGACGCTGGCACAGTTACCCATTACGGAAGGTCCATCAAGATACCGAGGCGGTACCGAGCTTCATGAAGATGTAGACATCTTGAGGCGGGATGTTGTATTAAGTATGTTCTTTTAGTCATATGATTTATTTGTGTTTAAATATCTTTTGTTGACAGATGTTTTTTGAAAACATGTTTTGGTAAACATTGGTTTAGTTGGAAATAGAGTTTGTTGAAACAAGATGTGTGTTTAATATTCTTGTATTAGAAATAGAACACTATTAATATCTGCCTATCCCTGATTTATTTTCTTTGCCAAATTGTGCTAAACTGTAGGTCTCTTAGTTGTTATTAGGTTTTTGAGCTATTAATTAACAGTAGTGTCTAAAGAAAATGTTGGCCTTAGTCACTAACAAGACTACAAGATCGCGCCACTGATCCTACACTCATCTGCACTCATATTTGGGTTAAAATACGCACATAGTGGCGTCCCCATCTTAAATAATTTATATAATTGATATCCCTGATTTATTTTCCTTCCTTAATTGTTTAACAATTAAATGTGTTAATTTAAGAAATCTAAATCATTTCTTTATTAGCATCGTACGTGTCAAATTACCTGAAAGTACACAAAATAACACTTGTAATCAACCTTAAAATTAAGAATACAATGGAAACTCCATGTACAGTATCGAAACTTAAATTTATTTAATTAATTAAAATACAAAATTGAAGGTAAAAGAAAATGAGGGGTTCACAATAAAGTTTACAATGAGTGGGGAATGAATTTAATAATGAAAGCTTTAGGCTAAGCCTATTAGGCTACAATAGTTCTAAAGGTTCAGGTGTTATAATTTATTGCATGGATCTTTATCTCAGGTGGGGTGATCAAGCGGCATTTGAATTTAATCTTGTGATTTTATATAGCCTAATTAAAATTTTGTTTTGAAATATAAAATAGGTTCAAATTATTTTCTGATTGATTGAATTAATGACTTGATTAGTGTTTCTTGACTTTTAAATTCTGGTACAATGTTCAAAAGTTAGGCCTAAAATGTTTTAATGGCTTCCAAGGATAGAAAATGTCTACTGGAGTGACCTCACCAAAAATTGATGTCTTCTTCACGGTAAATTTCTTGATGTAGTAATTATTAATGTTCTTAACAAGGATGGTTCTTCTTTAATCGAATTTCAATAATTTAGGTTCAAATATGGGCATTTTTTTTATAAACTTTGATATTAAAATATGTAGTATCCAATTTACATCTTCATACTAGCTCAGCTCTCTTGGAAGTAATGAATGTTTAAAGCATTGTTGCCTTCACACATGTCAATGCTGACTTAATTACAGAGAATTGTAGGCCACTGTTCACACATATATTATAACAATTTTCATTTGCTATAGAGCTATATTATAATTTTGAAAAGTTATTTAAATAAAATTATATTGAATTTGAAGCAATTTTGTTACAAAAATTATAGGCTATTATATATTTACTTGAAATTAGGTTATTTGAAAATTTTCTATATTATATTGTTTCGAATCAATTACCCATTGGTCTGTTTGGTCATATATTATACAAGGTTTGATAAATTGACATATTGATATAAAGAAAACATATGGTGATAGTTAAAATTATCTATGAAAAATATAAGTGGAAATATTGAATTGTTACACACTTATTAATAACACTTGCAATAATATATTTACACTTATATGGTTGACTCGCAAAACGGTAAATATATCAGACCCGAAGGCGAATGTTGTTATCCAATATGTTATTACAAGTGCTATTAGACGTATTTTCTATACTTTCACGTTAAGAAATCTATTGGCTTTTTGTTAATTCATCATGTATTCACTATGTATTTATTTGTTCCAACTACGTACAATATTTACATACTCTGCGTATGTGGCAGTTTTTATAGAAGATAAAATCGACTAGACAGATGAAATATACAATCAATATATATGTGTAAATCTAACATGAATACCAGCAATAGTAATACAATGTAAGTAGGTAAAATCATCAAGTCTTATATAAGCTTACCTGCAAACCAAAGTAAAGACCTCTTAAACATTCATGTACTTGTAAACAAGTAGGTAAAAAGCTTGGTCTACATCGGTAAATCCGTTTTCCCTAGAGTCGCAACTCAATCGCAATTGCACGAAATTAGCGTTTAACTTCTTTATTTTATTTCAAAGGGACAAAGGTTAATTTTAAGTAGGCCCCACTTAAAGGGTTCATAATTATGCAGAGAAACTTGAAGTAGAGTCACCGGAAGTATGATTCTAAGTTTTGCCATGAACCATTTATTTAAAAAGGCGCTCCGCATAGAAACAGATATAAATTGAAAGAATATATGTTCGGATTTCCCAAAATAAATATACAATAAACAAACGTTTCATTATTCCTAGCAATGCAAAAACAGATACCTATATTTCTTAAATTATACAATTATAATTCAAAACCAATGTTAGGGTGTTTAAGTGATATTGAAATTTCCTTTTCTTTCAAAAGTACTGAAAATTATTTATAAGTTATTCATGGTGCTTCTTTTATTAAATTGCTGGTACCTGCAACACTATGGTGTGTAAATGCCCACAAACTACCGTAAAAGAAGTGCAATTTAATATATTGTAAAATAAACCTAAGCTAAACGGATGATTATGTACGCAGTGCATAACATGAATAAATATTTTTTTATGTTGGTGAAGACTTTAAGCTCTGATCTTAAATTGGCTATGAAAACTGTCCTTCGAGGATAGGTGGGTTGACTCAATTTGTGATGAGAACAGATTAGGTTTCTTCGAAATAAAAAAACTTAAAGAAAGAAAACAAAAGGTCGCACCAACTCAACCACCAATATTTAAGAGCTAATTCTATTGATCTAGATTACTACATGTAGGCTTATCGTAATAAAACAAATATAATATGTATTATGCAACCTTTTGGTTGTCTTACATTTTATACAGATACAATCTAAGTTTGGTGTAAAACTAGAAACAATTAAAAAAAATTTGTTAGATTAATCAATAAAATAGTTTTTATAAAGTGCTATAGAAATAAATATCGTTATTATAAATAGAATATTTTAATAATTTAACTCATTTATATAAAATCAGAGTATTTCATTAAGGTTTTAGTTTCTAATTACAACCAACTTACACTACACATAACAACAACCAACACATAACTCCATCTTAGCTTAATCAATTCACATGTAATACGAAGTGACATGAGACATGCTGTATAATTTGCAGTGACACTGTGTATCCATGTTAGGGTTATTTTGATGGGAGAATTGTATTTGTATTCTAATGATGTAATATTTTTATACAGAGGTTTTTTATACCAATATTTAATGTAAAACCACACAATAAATAATTAATTGTAAGTAGAAACATTTTTTATCATTAATGCAATTTCTGTCTTCGTTAGGTATTCAACAAAATGTTTTCCGTGTTTATAAATCAAGAACAAAATAGTAAAATCTACTATTCTGATCAGAATGAATTGAATGAAGATCAAATTTAAATAAATTACAATAAAAAAGTTAAATTGATTTTATAATTTCAATTGTGTGGCAATTGTTAGAACTTAAAAAATGCCAAAGGTCCGATAGTGCAGAGTATGTTAACAATGCTTACAAGAAATATGTATATTAAAAACACTCCAATCTTGGAAGATATTTTCCATGGCCTTTCCAGCCAGTAAACCGATTATGATATTTCAGGTAATAACAAAGACCAATAAAACGTGATTTAGGTTTTTCATATTTAAAAGAAAATATGTTTATATTTTTTATCATATTTAGAAACTGTTATACCTCTTGAATACCTTATAAAATGTATTTGTTGTAAAGCTTTCAAAGACGTAACGAATATTTGCTAAACTATTGTAAAACATTATATGAATCACACGTTGACCGGCCTACGCATGCCCTTCTTGGGCTACTTTCATACTCAAAGGGAAACATTCGTCCATAAAACTGTGCATATGTTTTTTAAATTGTATAAAATAAAACTATAAGACTGTAAGTGCCAAATAACTCTACAAACATGTTTTTCTTTTGCTAGTTTAAGCATTTCAAAGTCGAAATTCATTTTATGGTAGACAATAAATCGACAAGTACCTTTTACATATCAAAATTGAGATATTTACGTTTACGTTTGTTTCCACATTTATTTCCACATAATGTATACAGAAAGAAACATACTTTTTAATACAAAATATACTCACAATTACAAAATATAAACTAAGGCTAAGAATAAGAAAGAACATTTATGTATTAATTAATTTGATGATTTTATGAAATACAGCAGACATAGGTAGGTGCTGCCTGTGCGTCTGCTGGGTTGCTATTTAATAATTATCAGTAGGTTACCAAATCATAATGGAATTGTTGTAAAAAAAATAAATTATTGGAATGACTGCTGCTTAAAAAGTAATTAGTTTAGGGAAAGAGATTTATAAATGCGTTCAAATAGAATTATAAACTAGAATAAATACAGTTATGATCAGGTGGGGAGCTAGACCTGATCTGATTTTACGGATGTGATAAACGGACGTGAATTCCGAAGCTCTACACCAGGCGATTCTCTCAGTCCAACCTTGATATGAGTGTCTGAGTTGGCTTTTAAATTTTGTTCGTGGTTTTGAGATTACGGAATCTAATCTACATAATGAAAAAGACGTTTTGCAGAAATTATCGGAAGTGTACAATCTTACAAACTGTTGTGGGACACTTTTCAAGTTTTGTATTTACACTTGAAAAAACTTCAAAAAAACAACTTTTTAAATCTAACTGTGACATTCTCCAAAGAAGGAAAGCAACGCACTGAGCTCAGATCGGGCGCAGAGAACGGGTCGTGTAAACACATCGCTCCGTCGATCAGGTGACAGGGCGGTCGGGACCAGGGGACAGGGCGGTCGGGACCAGGTGACAGGGCGGTCGGGACCAGGTGACAGGGCGGTCGGGACCAGGGGACAGGGCGGTCGGGACCAGGGGACAGGGCGGTCGGGACCAGGGGACAGGGCGGTCGGGACCAGGTGACAGGGCGGTCGGGACCAGGTGACAGGGCGGTCGGGACCAGGGGACAGGGCGGTCGGGACCAGGTGACAGGGCGGTCGGGACCAGGGGACAGGGCGGTCGGGACCAGGTGACAGGGCGGTCGGGACCAGGGGACAGGGCGGTCGGGACCAGGGGACAGGGCGGTCGGGACCAGGTGACAGGGCGGTCGGGACCAGGTGACAGGGCGGTCGGGACCAGGAACGGGAAAAGGTGTCCGGAAACGGGCCGTGTAAACCAGGCTTTAAGCAAACTTAGCGGGTTGAGTAGTTTATGAGAGGGAGGCTATAATTCACATTATCATCCGTGTCACCTGACGGAGACGCGTCACTAGAAACGCAGTAGGGCTGTCTCGATCTCCTGAATGGCTTGGCCCTCTCTCCGCTTCAGTTGCAGCACTTGTCGCTCATATCCACTTTCTTAAAAATAAATCAAGCGTAGAACAATTTCGGGATTAAATATTTATTTAAATCTCATCCATAAGATCTCTATAGCATCTACATAAAAAAAATGATTCCCTTTTTTATGGTATTCCATAACTCGAGAACGAGTGCACTGAATTGGATGACTCTTTTTTTTTTTGTTCTACCAGGACGTGATTGAGCGATGCGAACGAGCTCATCTTGAAAATGAACGAGCATTTGACATAAAACAACATTAGGACAGTACAACGTCTGTCGAGCCAGCTAGTATTTTAATATAAACAACAATCAAATTCAGCCTTAATCATTGAGTCTTATATACTTCAAAACTAGTTAGTTGTTATTCCTCAACAATATTCAAAACACACAATTCTTAATAACAGTTTCTGAAACTTGAGTGTTTTGGATTAAATCTTGTAATTCTAATTATATCATCTTCACAGTTCTCATTTATCTGTTTGTTTCTCTGTAGACCCTTTGGATTATGATAATAATACATAGCACAATTTTATTGATATTTATTGTTGGTGGGTCGCGAAAAATCCAAGATTTAGGTGGGCCGCTGGACCGAAAAGTTTGGAAACCACTGTTCTAACCCAAGATGTATGGATTAAAAGTAAACTTTTACTCCATACATCTTGGTTCTAACCTCAGAAAACAAATACCAGGAAACCAAGCCATGCTCAGTGGCGTTAAATTTGTTCAGATAGTTAAAACAGACACATTAAAGCTGGTAAATGAGTAGATATAATGCTCGCTTAGTGATCAGAAGTTTCCTGGTTCGATTCTTAGAGAAGTCCAAATATTCTTAATGGTTCTAACTGGACCCAGCTGTACCTGATCATTGGGCTTTTAAATAAATGATTCTTACTAAAGAGCCAACTGATCTTAGTCAGTAACAAATCTTGTCATATCATTCATTCAAGAATCGTCGTTCACCCATCTTCGCCTTAAATTACCCGCCATTTTGTTTCAGTGTTGCTAAAGTGATTCAGGAATAGAATCAATAATAACATTAACACAATTAATCTCAATTATTCATCTCGAAGACTAAATGTAACATATTTTATCAAAACTAAGTTAAATTGCTTTGTAAAACAGCATATTTTACAAATAAATAATGTCATTGGAAAACCATTGTTATTAAAAATACAATTTACCTTACAAAGCTGATTCTTAATGAACAAAATCGCATTCGTTTTGTAAAAGGTAATACATATCAATGGAAATTGTTTGCTACATGAATCTCATTAATCTTTACCATGTAGCCCATAGTCATCTGATCAAGTTGGTTTATTTGAATTCAGTTATTTTTTGTATCAAAACCGATACAACAAGGTAGCGAAACTGACCTTTTCCTTTGTAGCTCAGTTTCGAAACAATAGCTTTACGACTGCTATGGTTCATCAATTTTAACAATTGATTATTTATTATTTTGCGTTAAAGCAAACACTTTCCTGTGAAGAGATTTTCCCACGAAAAATTGCTTTTACAAATTGAATAAAGAAGAAGAATGCAAAGTTCTTTACTGTGGCAATTTTTGTACACATTTAGGTACCAAATGGGGTACCTGTAAATAAAGAAACTTCATTACCTTGGATATATTGGCCGTCTGATAGCTTATTAAAACAATGTACTCAACATGCAACATTTAATTCTGAAAGTAATATAAATATAACAAAAATTCAAACAATGTCAACACTGAAAGATAACATTTATTGAAATAAAAAAAAAGGTAATAAGTAAAAAGCGCTATCCACAAAGGGAAATTTATTAAAAATATACGGACACTTATATACAATTGACAAATCAATTAAAAATCAACCCACTAAGATTTGTTTTTCAAAACACCCTATTTTCATCAAATGACCTCAGCTGGACGTCGATGTAATTTTTACAAACATTGTCTGTTTTAGAATATAGTATTTCGTATAAATGTGACCATATATTTAAATCACCGAATCTCTCGTGCAGTTAACTAATCAAGCCCTGCCTCGCATTGGTGAGAGGTCTGAGGAGTATAGTCTGTAGGTTGTAGGTTGGAGCGGAGGTGGTGGCGCGGGTATATAGAGGTGGTGGGCGACGCGCGCGTCCCTAGTGCGTCCCCACAGTGCCACCAGAACACGTCGTCTGCATCCAGACGTCGCATACGCTCGTACTCGCACATACACATACAGGTACACATCGTCAACGAATATGGCGAATGAGGCTAACTTTCCTACAGTTTCGAATATTAAAGTCTCTCTTGCTCAATTTGTTAATCAAATTACGAAAGCTGTCGCAATGGCCTAAAAATCAACTTTTAATTTTTATTGGATGTATTTTTAATGACTTGAGTACATTTGCCTGTGGGAAACATAATCCGTGCTAAATGGTACTCTGGAAGAGTTATTTGGAATTTATTTAAATGTAACTACTTCGTAGAAATTTGCATACTTTTGGCCTCTTTCAAAAAATGTTATGAATAAAAAATTATATGTGACGTTGCATTTATACCACCAGAATTGGTACTACTAACCGAATTATTTCACTATTCAGGAGACTTTGTACAATATACACAATTATAAACTTATGCCAAACATGCGTGGGACTTACAATTTGGTAATCTTTTTAAATTGTAGAAATATTTAAACAGCAAAATACAAAGTTGTCTATAAAAAAAATATAAATATATACAATGGTCACCTTATTATAAATAAAATAATACAATTGAATTAAACGTTTATACAGTATCTACACGTACCCGCGGTCTATGGAAACTTTAGTAAAACGAAGAAAACCGCTTTATTGCCATTGTCCGTAAAATACCAATCAATGCAAATGATGATTAAAAACAATACTTATCACAATTTATCAATACTTTACCAATACAATAATGTTTTTTATTTACATTTGTCTACGACAAAAATTATTTTTTACAGACCGAATTAAATATATTTTAGGGAATACAACAACAAAAATGTCTTTATTGCCGTCAAATTAAAGACGTTTTCAACACTATCAGACGGTAGGTCTTTAAAGTAAGCTATAATTTTTCTTAAAGAAAGTAATTTGAACTATAATTAGTGAGAAAAAACCAAAACACCATCCGATGAGAAAAAGTTCAAATTAATAATTTTGTTATTTGTGTATATTGTTCGATAATAATATTGTAGAATCATATGTAATAATCGTATAATAATATTCGAATATTAAAAATGTATGCTTGATTTAGTTTTCTTTTAGTATAATACACAAAGATACATCTTACAAAGATATTTTAGTAAAAGAGTATTTTCAATCTCAGTTAGGTCTAAAGGTTTGTATGTTATATATTATTTTAATGCTTTTCAAAAGTAAATCTCTTGTCATTTTCTACTAAATATTCCTTAAATATAATATATATTGTTTTGAATATTGTTCACATGTAGTGCTACTCTAATTAATATTAATAAAAATAGTACCCTTTTTTAAATATTTATAATTTCGACTCTTAGGTCATGGCCACAGTCACACTGCATTAGTTATTATAAATATAAAAATGTACTACGGTTTATTATATATACAGTATATTTAATCACATCTCTTTTGATAAAATAATACTAAATACTACTACTTTGATAAAATAATATTTTTTTTATTAATACTTTATAAATACATGGATAGGTATTTATAGATACCTATAACAATATACTTTTGGTTTTTTTATGAATCTTCTAATTAAATGATCAAACAAAACTCTTTAGGGCAAACTAAAATTTCTAATTAAGGCTGTCAAAGACAAAAGCGTTTTTATTTAGGAATTTATATTTGTTATATTTTTAAAACATTAATTTATATCCAGGCAATCTATCTAATTATCTAATCTATCTAGTTCTGGATATAGCTTGTAATACTCCGTCTTTAGGAATGAAGGCAAAAACATAATTAGGTAATAATATATGAATGTGTACAAATTTTAATAGCGAAACTATACTCTAAACGCTTTTTACATACAAGAACATTTTAATGGTGTTACTTTTTTTTACTTTCAAAACGTTACAAATACAAACGTCCGTTATACAAAGTATACATTTTTAAAATCATCTACCTGATAAACAATCTTTGACTACTTTAAATAGGTTGACTCCTTTAAGCCAATACTTTCTACATTGCAAATAGATTAAAAATTTACCCAAAGCGATTGATAATGCGCATTACAAGAGTACTTCCATAATATTTAAATATTTTTGTAATCTCGTGTAACTACAAACATAATAAAAAATATAAAAATTAAAAAGGAACGAATTAACTGAAAACGTATTAACGCTGTCAATGGCATTCACATTCACATTAGATAAATTAGGATTTACTCTAGTTCAAACGTATATTTGCTTTTAGACGTCCCATTTTATTAACAATTTGTTACAAATACCATTTGCAATCTTCTATATACAAGAATTTGACTCAAAACATAGTTCAAATATAAATTTTTCAATATCCCTGTTGCAAGAAACCTGCAGACTAAGCGAATTTCCATTTGTGGCATTGTATTTCTTTTAATACCTTTCCTTTCATATGTCAGATTTATTTCATATTTAAAACATTAATTTTAAAGGGCAGTTACATAGGTGTGCCGCTACAAGGAAGAAAAAGTTTTTTATTTTCATAAATGTTCATGGAATAGCATAAAATACATTTTCCAAATTTCCTAATCAATTTCGACATGCCAATATTGTCTTTAACATTTGTAAAGAGGTTTAAAATAATAGATTTATTTTCTAAATTTCAAATATGACAATAATTTGCGACTTGGTGAAAAGGTGAGCTTTGGATGCGGAAAAGTATTCCCTCGTTTAGTGGTAAAATCCTGTAAATGATAAGATGACTAGCAAACCGTTTTAGCTAAAAAAAATACATTCTAAGCCCTTGTCCATTAAGTTTTAAATTTAGTTAGTGGGTAAACGTTGTTCGAATAAACATTCTAATTATTTATTAGTATGTATTGATGGATGAAATAGGTATTGAAAAATTCCTATACAACCGAATCGGCTGTTGAAGAATACTACCTTATTGGACCAAATTTATGCTTTAAAATCTAGTAATCATATTATATATTATCTTTGAAGTATATGATATGAAGAAACTCACAAACCTATTGAAGTTAGCGTAAATATTATTTTTGGGATGTAAATAATAAACTCATCGTTGTTTATTTCTAGTCGCGTGTCTATACAACCGAATCGGCTGTTGAAGAATACTACCTTATTGGGCCAAATTTATGCTTTAAAATCTAGTATTCATATTATATTATTATTGAAGTATAAAACAGCACATTGATAATTTGAGTCATTTTACAAGAATTATAATAACCAAGAAAACCTTTAGACACGCGACTACAAATAAACAATGATGAATTTATTATTTACATCCTAAAAATAATCTTTACGTTATACTTCAATATGCTTGTGAGCTTATTATGCTAACTGGATTTCATTTTAACATTATTGCCAAATAATCATTGACAAACTACAGAAAATCATCATAGACAAATAAAGTAGTGTATATAAAAAGGGTTTAAAAGTAGCAGCTTGAAGCACGTCATGTCATCAAATATTATCATTACGTCCATTGGATTAATCCACCATCACAAAAACTGTGACAAAAAATAATGCGTAATTTTTATACAAACTTAATAACTTGGTAGTGGTTTCAATTTATTTTACGGGTCTCATATTTATACGACGCATATTTATTTACCCGTCAAATTGAAGTAAATAGCTTTTTACATATTTGGAACGATAAGTTATGATGAGTTATTTCAATATTTAATTTAAAGGATTTGCCACAAACACTCAAACGCTTTGCCCGTAGAATGTTGCCCACATCACCACATCTTAATTGTCTGTTTACTTCACCTTCTGTAGTTTGCACATAGAGAAACCGCCAAAGGGAAGATTACTTATTTAGTTTATCTCTAAATGTCGTCAAATAAGGCTGGGCTTTGTAGCTTTGGGAACAACAAAACTGTAATAAAAATGTTAGGAAAACGCTTCCTTATACTTTTGGCACTAGGAATAATTTAGAAAGTATTTTGTAAAATATTAGAAATGTTTATCCTAAAAACATTATATTTTAAAATAATACGTTTATCTATGCACTTTAAAACTAAAATATCAACTATTTTTTGATATTTACTTATCTTATGGAGAATGACCAATCTCTAATCACCAAAACATAAACGCAAATCCAGCGAAGACAGTCATTTGAAGAATTTAATCAATTGCTAAAGCAGAAGCCTCTGAAATGCGGAGTCAATTTAAAGCCATTTGAAACGTTATTATTTTTGTCTTATCGCCTTACTTTCTTTGTAAATGAACGGTGAAAATATCTTTACAAAGTTCAAGAGCTAGAATGAGGTTGAATATATGCAACGTTTAAAAGAATGTCAGTAAAGGAACAAATAAGACGCACGAAAAACGATTCAAGAATATGTTTCAAAAATAATTCAAGAATAGTTTTAAAAGTTTAAAATCCACGCGCTTTCAAGAGTATCGTTAATACGTATAATTATAAATATAAAACATAATCATCTCGGATCAAGCGTTTACTAAGAAATTTATTTTGTATAGTACCAAAACTATTTTGCATATAATAGTAGTAAAAAACTCATAAATCCACTCTAATACCGGGTGTTTCTTAATGAGTATAGCGGGTTTAAAGCTGTATAACTTTTATTACATTAAACTTACTGCTATAAATGACACATCAGGTGAAAAAGCAACTCAAAGAGTTTAAGATTTCCAATAACACATACTATAAAATCGATGCTGTACAACTGTAGGATTAGCTGTACAAAGTTAAAAAAAATCTCTTACTCGGTATTTTTTATCACTACTATTCGAGGGTCCATTAACTTTTTTGCAATTAAGTTTTAAATGGTGAGGAAATCAAGTGGTTGGTAATATTCTTAAAGATTACTACAAACTATATTCATGAATTTCTTGAAACTACTCAAAAAGGCAGCCAAAAGCTGCATCCAAATAAAAAAATTGTAAACGCCCCGTTTTAAATATACATAGGCAATAGACATAGTAAACTATCGTCTTGAGTGTGCCATGTGACGAATGATTTATTCAACACTTGTTTTTAGGCTTTTAAGTAAACTTTTTTAGTTGATTTTTCATTTGACGTGTCATTAATAACGGTAAGTTTAATGTAACAAAA